TTAACGAATGGAGAAGAAGATTTATGCATTGGAATAAATACACATGGACGATATAGAGATGAACTTGAATCTATCATTGGAATGTTTGTGAATGCTATACCTTTGCGATGTCAACTCGATCCTCATTTATCATTTCATAAAGTCACCAAACATGTTCAAGATAACATGATAAACTGTATGAAATATTCATATTTTCCTCTTCAACGTATTCTCAATCAACATCCAAATATATCAAATCCTGTATTTCTTGATACATCGTTTGAGTTTCTATCATCTACAAGAAGAGATGAGAAGAATGAAATAATGATTGGTGATAGTCGATTTTCTTTACTACCTTATTCAATTAAGATTAGTGAAGATGAAATAATGAGTAAATTTGATTTCATTGTTAGTTTTCAACATGATCTGAATCTAAATGAATTCTCATGCACAATCGATGCATCGCTTGATCTATTTAATACTGAAACAATTTGTGTAATTGCACAAAGATTACAGTCAATGTTACATCAACAATTCACATCTTTCGAGTGTAGAACAAACAAACCGATCTATGAATTATCATTGATATTATCAAATGAACAATATCTAATGCAATCGGTGAACAATACACAAATGTCATTTTCATCTCCTCTCACTTGTATTCATCATGAATTTGTATATCAAGTAATGAAACATCCACAAAAGCTAGCAGTTGAACTAGATGAACAATCATTAACATATTGTGAACTTCTATATTATGTTCAAGTGTTATCTGTTACTCTTCTTAATGAATATCATGTATTTCCAGGTGAGATCGTATGTCAATGTGTTGAGCGAAGTTTGTCAATGGTACGTGCAATGAAGAACTAATTGTTTAAAATAAAAAAAATTCATTTGAACTAGGTGATTGGTATTATGGGAATTGAAATGGCTGGTGGCGTTTACTGTCCATTGTCAGCTCGAGATCCACAACATCGTTTGCATGCACTAGTAGAGCAAACTCAAAGTCGTCTTGTACTCGCTCACCATTTCACAACGTTAAAGTTTTCTAGTGAAATCGTTTTATATAACGTAGATTTAATATGGACTGTAGGTCATACTAAGAGTTCTATAATTATGGATCGCCTTTCGGATATTGTAGTAACAATAGACAATATTGCATATATAGTTTTTACGAGCGGTTCAACAGGAACATCGAAAGGAGTAGGATGAACTCTTGTCTAAATAATAGTTTTGTTTGAGTTTTGCTTTTTAGGTACAAATTCGTCATCGAAATTTGTTGTCTTGCATTGATGCTCTGGTTCGATTGAATTTATTCACAAATAAAGATACTATGATACAAATGGCAAGTTGTTCATATGATGTGCATGCTCAAGAAATGATGGGAGCTTTAGTCACTGGATCAACCATTATAATGCTTCGTCCTCAAGGAAATATGGATTTAGACTATATGACGAAGACGTTAAATGAAAAACAAGTATCATATCTCCAGTGCGTACCAGCATATGCCAATGCTTTGCAGGAATTTCTTCAGAGTCGCAACATTCCAAATTTGAGTAGTTTGCGTACTGTTGATATCGGTGGTATGTCTCGCATTTTATTTATTAAATATTTATTGTTAGAACTTTCTAGGAGAAACGAGTACAGTTCAACTTATTGACAAGTTGTATACATATCTGCCACAAGCCTGTTCTGTATGGAATTTGTATGGTCCTGCCGAGACAACTGTCGACTGCACAAGTTATGTCATAGGTAGAAGTCTAAATCTGATCAACATCCCAATTGGATGCCCACTACCCAACTATCGATGTATGATTATGAATCGATATTTAGAATCATCTTTTAGCGGCCAAGAAGGTGAACTGTGTGTAGGTGGAGTGGCTGTGTTTGCTGGTTATCTTGGACGTGATGATTTAACGGCAAAAGCTCTCGTTGAAATAGATGGCGAAACATTTTATCGAACAGGTGATCTTGTTAGACTAGATAACTATGGTCTTCTTCATTATCAAGGAAGAAAAGATCATCAAATCAAACTACATGGACAACGAATCGAACTTGGTGAAATCGAACAATGCTTACTTCGAACATCGATTTCGGCTTGTGTTGTCATGAAATGGAACGATGATCATCTAATTGCTTATGTTCAATCATCTCATATCAACGAAGAACAACTACGTCAACATTGTCAATCTCATCTTCCACCACATATGATTCCTTCTTTCTTTATTATTCTTGACAAGTTACCTTTGAATCCAAATGGAAAAATAGATCGAAAACAACTGCCTTCACCCGACTTTTCTCTATCGACTTTGTTATCGTCCGATAAATCTGATACTTCTCTTAGCCAGTTCGAAGAGCAGATACACATTATTTGGTGTCAAGTTCTTCATTCTAATCAAAATCACATTGCTAGAACGACCAGTTTTTTTAGTGTCGGAGGCCATTCACTTTTATTTATTGAACTTTATCATCATTATCAATCAGTATTTAACTTTGATGCTCATTCACTTTCGATTGCTCCATTTCTTCAACAACCAACGATATTTCAACATTCACAA